ACAAAATAATGTTCTTTTTAGCAGCATCATATGACCCCTTTTTAATGTATTAAGCCACATTAAACGTAATGATAATCTAAAAATGTGCTTCATGTGGTAACATCTATATTTTATTATACTATAATTTTATTTAAAAAATGTTAACATTATAAATATATTAGATTACACCAAACAAACGACATTTTTATGGGTAAGAACAGGTAGAAATAACTCTTTAACATAACTGCACGTTACCACTTTTTTACAGTGGGAGGTAAAAGCTTAACGTAAAACTTTGCGCTTTGCGTTCATATTCTGGGCTCTTCTGCAGAGTTTGTCTTTTAATATCACTGTATCAATGCATAAGTGTCCCTTATTTTGGACAAAATTAAGAAGAAATTATGCCCATTGCCCTGTATTTTTGCAGTAACGCTAAATACAGTGCCCTTCCGACAGTCCACATCACACAGACACCTACGTGATCAAAACAAGCATCTGGGTGGTCGCTGTCCACCCTAACTCCCACTCAGCGCTGACCCTGCCCTCATCTTCATAGCTTTATATATTGATGAATAGACCGTACGAGAACGTGTTTTAGAGAAACAGTATGTTTGTATTTACCTTTTGCGAAACAGGATGAGCGTTCAATTAATACACACACACACTGATTGTTTTCTTAGCATTTTTCAGGATTTAAACACTTTGGCATGGCAACTGGATGGCAATTACAAATGTCTTCATTCACATAATCATTCACATTAAGATCCTCGGTTACATTTGCTGCTGAACTAATAGTAAAGAGGAAGGGATGATCGTGTTTACTCACGCTGCTGCCGTCGGAATTGAGGAGCCTATACAGCGATGTAGATGCCATTATACAAATCTTAGCGCTAATAGGATATAAGTATGAATTTAGAAAGAAAACCTACCTCTTTACTGTCTGCCATCATCTTCGTCCTCAGGAGAGGGCCAATCAACAGCCAGTTCAAAGACGAGCAGCCAATAGCATTTGTTAACACAACAAGTGTAACCCCTCTCTCCCAGGTCCTCACCTCGTTCTCACTCTGAGTGGGTCTCAAACCCGGGTCTCCGGCATGGGAGGCGGACGCACTAACAAGCAGACTAAAGACTACAGCCTCTAGTGTCAGTCGCTAGTGTGTCTCTTGAGATCAGGGGAGTGAGGTTTACCTGCACAGCACCTACCGCTGGCCTCCGTTACACTCACCCCCCCTAAACCTCACTCCCATCCGGGTCACGGCACCAATGTAACCCCTCTCTCCCAGGTCCTCACCGCCACACCTCGTTCTCACTCCAAGTGGGTCTCGAACCCGGGTCTCCGGCATGGGAGGCGGACGCACTAACAAGTTACATTACACTAGCATATGTTGGGGCCCCGCCCCCTGACTGTCAAAATTTCCTGTGCGAAGAGTTCAGCTCACGCGTGTTGATGTGAATACACACAATCATATTTTTTGTGCTCGAGTTTGGAATTTGCCATTTCTTCAGGTTTACATTTTACGTGCGAGCGGTCACTGTGTGCACAGTACTGTAATCCGCTTGCGCTGTTTTGTCCAGCTTTTAATGTCATACATATGAACTGATTGATTTGGACCTTTAAAAGGATGCATTGAAACCATAGACTATATAGACTACATAGACTAAACCATAAACATGGACGTAGTGTCCGTGACGTCACCCGTAGATTTCCGAAGAGTGTTTTTGAAGCTCAAAAGTGGGAGGAGGCGGCCGTCGCCATCTTGGTAGCACGTCACTCCCAGATAATCGAAAATGGGCAAAGAGGCGGGAGCAGGTTGCTGAAGCCACGCCCACCTAGCTCGCCGGTGGTGACAGCAGCAGTAATCCACCTGTCACTCAAGTGGCCACGCCCTTAATTATGCAGAACTTTAAGGCTTAATATAATTTAAACGGATGAGTTATAAAAAAAATTCACCCCCTCACAGTTGTCATGAAGGGCAAAATTAAAATTCTGCTGTAAAGTTGGGCATTAACTATGGGATCGACTCCCTTTTGCAGCCAGCCTCTAGCGGCCAGTTGATGAATTACAGTTTAAACCACTTCCTTGTTGGCTTCACGAGAGAGAGCGGGAGGTTGCCGCTTGATTGAAACAAACGAGTCCACATTGTGTGTGCGTGCGTGTGTTTGTACTCCAGAGCTTCATTATTACAGTGGTCTGCCGAGGTTTTAAATAAGAGGGCTTTGCCATGTTCAGAGCTATTTTGGTTTAAATAGTGGCTCACTAATGGCAGATGCTGTGTCTGTAGAGAAAAGGGCCTGGACTGGAGACACACTCCCTCACTCTCTCTCTCCAGTCTGATAACCAATCTGGCAATAACCTATCCTTTCTAACACACCCTGTGATTTAAACCATGGTAGGAGCAACACAAGCTTGCACACACACAACCTGTGTTTTATGAGGACTCACCATAGACATGTTGACTGTATATCCTCTAACCATAACTCTACCCCTAAAGACCCTCCCAGAATACTTTTTGTGTTTTTACATTTTTTTTTTAAAAAGTAAGATTTATAAGCTGCCTTCCCAAACTAGGCCAAAATGTTGGGAACGTGGGGAATGCACCCCCCATGTACTGTTTTTACAAAATATAATGCAGGTTTTGGTAAATAATGTCAGATTTTGCACTTCTACAGTATGTTCACATTTGTCACATAGGCGCACACACACAAGCAAGTAATTATTCTCACATATGTATGTGTCTGCAGGTTCTCATATGCAGGATCCACTTCACCTTAAGGATGTAAGAAATTTAAAGAGATACAAATGGCATACTAAAGAAAAGTGTGTACCTTTTTTCTTAGTAGAAAATACCATCAGATATTTAGCTAAGACACAAACAAACAAACAAATCTTTTTAATTTTGTGTAAAATGGCTTAAGATTTGGCAGTCCAATAAAATACTGAGTCAAGAAATAGATTCATAAACTAAAAATGTTGTAAAACGTTCCCCTTAATGTTTACAGTTACTGTACTAATTGATGTAACAGTTATGATAATATCAGAATGATTTGCGATCATTTATGGCCTGCGACTTCCAAATTGTGCAGAAGGAAGAAAAAGAACAAGGACAAAAAGAGAAAACGAGATGATGAAGACAAGCTGGATATCGTTGGTACGTATGCTGTCACTTTGTCCATGGAGGTATAAAAGATAGACAGACAGATAGATAGATAGATAGACAGACGGATAGATAGATAGATAGATAGAAAGACAGACAGATAGATGATAGATAGACAGATGATAGAAAGACAGACAGACAGACAGATAGATAGAAAGACAGACAGATAGATAGATAGAAAGACAGATAGATGATAGAAAGACAGACAGATAGAAAGAGACAGACAGACAGATAGAAAGAGACAGACAGACAGATAGAAAGACAGA